TTTTAAAAAAAAATTGTTGTGGATTTTTAGACATGGGCTAAATAGTCCCAGGGGTTAAACTCTTGTTTGGGACATGAGCCAAAGAGGGTCTGATTAATCAAAACCCTCAAATGAAGCATAGATTTGTAGTTGGAAGATAGATGGCTAGAGCATTTATTATGTGCCAGGTATTAGAAGAGGCAATGTAGTTCAGCTCCTTCTCCTTAAAGACAAGGAAACTAAAATTTAGAGAAATAAACATTCCCAAGGTTCTAAAAATGGTAAGTGGCAGAACCAGAAGGCAAACTCCAAGTCCAGCATTATTTCCATGGCACTAATGTGGTATAGGGGTGCTAGGAACCCCGAAATACAAGGGTACAGGGTGGTGTTCTCCCTTGAAAGAATTTGACCACTCAAGCCTTCTTTCAGTAGCAAGTTTTTTGTAACACCAATAGAAGCAGGCCAGACTCCTAATGAGTCTGCAGCATTTGTGATGCTAATACAAGTGGTCCAGATTTTAAGAATCTGATCATTTGATGAGGATGGGAGTGATACTTTTATAGGGAAAAAGTCTGTGGGGAGATCTGGATGGGATCTAGGAGTGGAAAGTATCTTGGGGTGGTCAAGAGATAACAGAGAAGGGGTTTAGATGGGATTAAGGAGTGGCAAGTAAGCTAATTAAGTAATCAAGGTGGACCAGAGTGGGCCAGAAGCTGCAGGCAAACGCCAGGGACTGGGTTCCCAAAATTTGTGAGAAAGTTCAAGGGCCTTTCCTTTTAGGGGTCCAGATCCCCTACACAATGGAACATTGTGTAAATCATGAACTTGGTTTCTGGGCCATAGGTCACACCTCCAAATAATCATCTAACATCAAAAAAAATCTATATGCAAACTTCCCATAAATAAATAAATATATACGCGCGCGCGCGCGTGTGTGTGTGTGTGTGTGTGTGTGTGTGTGTGTGTGTGTGTGTGTGTGTATCCTATGTTGTAGGCATACCTCTGACACTAGCACACTCTTAGTCCCAGTTTGATTTTGGGATAAAATGAGGCACTTAAAGTCATTGAACAAAGGGGGTTTACTTTTCTCAAAGATAGGCAGTTGGAGATGGAGTTCCTGAGTTCAGCTTTATTTTATTATAGTGTGTGCATTTATGCAATGTTGATTATTGCGGTATGACATCTGGGGAGGGAGTGGAGGCAAGGAGAAAATGAAGCTAAATCTCAACTGCTGATGGCGTAAGATCAGTTCAAGATGATTGGAGAAAGAGCTCACCAATTTGACAAGGCAAGAAGAAGGAAACTGCAGTTGAAAAGGAAGATAGTTTCAATCTAAAAATGAGAGGGAAAGAGCTGAGATGTTTGACATAAAGATAGGACTCCTCATAATCAGTGCTTTGAGTAGCCTATCAATCTATTTCTTTTCCTCCCAAATTCCCAATTTCGAGGGCTGGAGGGCATTTTGCCTTATGGATTCAATAGCTCAAGAAATGTATACCTTCAAACTGAATTATGAATCCTCGAATCATGACCATTTTATGTTTTCATTCTTACCCTCTTCCCCCCCACCTCAATATTGCTATAACTTTCATTTGGGTGTCTTTTTCATGAACAGTGAAAACAGAATGAAGTCTTGTTTCTACCTATAGGATCCTTTGTGATACAAATATCACATAGGACTTACGTTTGAAGGTGCTAAGCCAAAACAACCCAGAAACTCCCTGGACTATGCTCCTTAGAGGGCAGTGTAGTATAGGGGAAAAAATCCTGACCTGGGAGTTGCAGTGACCTGGATGGCAATCCTAGTTTTACCCTCCAAAGGATGGGTGACCCTAAGCAAATTCTTAGGCCTCTCTATGTATCTATCTGTGAAATGATGGGTAGTACTGGATCATCTTTAAGGTCTTTTTAGCTCTACGTTTCTAGGACTAGGATCTAGATGGTGAGGGGGATGGAAATCATGCCACAGGAAGATCATTTTAAAGAAAAAGGATTGTTTAGCCTTGCAAAGAGAGGCCTTAAGGGCAGGAAATGTCTTCAAGTAACGGGAGGCCTATGTGGAGGAGAGGTTACACATATTTTGCTTGACCCCAAAGAGAAGGAAGAGCAATAAATTGAGATTACAGAGAAATAGATTTTGATTCATGAGAAAAACAATCCTAATAATTACAGCTTTCAAAGAGTGAAGTAAGTTGTCTCAGGAGATAGTGGGAGCCCCTTATCCAGAGAGGATGTTGTACAGCAGGCCTACACAACGTATAGCCCGCAGGCCACTTGGGGCCTAGAGGCAACCAACCATGGTCAATCTGTCTCTAGTCTAACCTACCATCTGTGGCCTGAAGAAGTTTAGCCTATTTTAATTTTGGCCCCAAGTTGTGCAGGTGTGTTGTACAGGATACTCTTGTGGGTTATGATTTGGACTAGGTGACCTCTGAGTCTTGTCCTACTCTAAAGTTGTAGGTATGCATGTGTATCTAAAACATAACCCAGTGTTACTTCAGAAAAATCTAGGTCACTAGGAAAATAACCTAGTGAATAACAATAGGCAAATCCAGACTTCTTAAAGTACTCAAGTGAAAAATGTGATTATTTCTACATCTAGGTCGAGGACTTCATTAAAGAACTAGATGCTTGGGTAGAGGTAGTTTCATAGCCTGTTAAATATTGACAATAGTCAGAATATTTGAAGAAAACTCAATGAATTTTAGTACCACTGCTGTGATGGCTTAGAAGGCAACATTTAAAAAAATCTTTATTTCTCTTTATAGTTGAAAAATAACAAAGGCTATTAAATACATGTCACTTATACCTTGAAAAGTTCACTAAAATAATATTCTGATGCTTCTTTGTGCTGTGGAGGTGACCCTGGGCTGTCAAAAGCTACACAAGTCCTGGGAGGACCTATTCAGGTTTCAAGTAAAAGTGGACTGTGATGAGGACTGGCGGTTTATTTAGTTTTCTCACCAGAAGGCTGGCCACCAGCTGATGAGTTTTGGGGCAGTGATAGCTAATGAAACCATCTACTGAAGTGTGGAAGAGTTCCAACAGGAATCAATAGAGGGCATAATCATACTGATGGAATGACAGCTCTTTCAAAGTAATTTGAAGCATTTCTGTAACTTACAGTGCAATTTAAAAAATTGTCTGTTTAGTAGAAAAACATCATGAATATTCAGTACTTGTGGTTTAATAATGATTTTAGTATCTGGGCCAAATCCCATCCTTAGTTGCATGTGTGGCTCTCTCATTGATTCTTGGCCTGTTTAAATCAATATGTTAGGAGAGAATGTTCTATGATGTACAGTCTATTATCATCCCAGAGATCATAAAAGCAGAGAAGAATTGTGGCAGGAATGCTGGTACTTAGTGTTTATCAATATCATAAAGACTATGTAATAGCAAAATAATTATATGCACTAAAAACAGGAGAGTGATTCATTGTTACTGACTATGTCAATAGTGGGTTTGAATAATTACATGCCTCTATCCTTTTCAGGTAAAATAATCTTCAATCTATCTAGCTGAAAATGTGATCCAATTCACTGACTATAAGAGGTAATTATAACTATTGACGTGATTTTTTAAACACATTATAACTGTTGCTGTGACTTTATTACATTTTTCTCTCAACCAGATTTGACTTAGAATACTACTTTGATCTAATATTAATACTAATCACTTAATTAATCAGATATTAATCAGCCCTGTTTCCTTTTGCTCCCTCTTTTGGATTAGATAGCACACAGATGTTTTAGGCAAAAAAGATGTAAAAGTGACAAAGATGGTGTAATATTTCACAAGTGGGGCTTAATCAATCTTGATCTGGTCATGTGAAGAGAGACAGAGAGAGACAGAGACAGACAGACAGGCAGGCAGGCAGAAGAGGGCTTTTGCATAATTGTTTAAACTTTCCACTTCACTTTTCTTGAGTAGCTGTGAGAGAGCTATCACCCAAAACACGGGCATTTTGCTTTACTGCTACTAGATTTGCTACAGTCATTAGATTTCCTTATGTCACTGATTTTTTTTTGTTTGTTTCCATAGTTTAGATATGTTTGCAAATTTTAAGTGGAATTAATTTGGTATTATGTCCTTCTAATCAATATGTATCATTCTGTTACTAACTTGTAGAATATTCCTTAAATTGCATATTTTGTCTATCTTATTAATAAGACTCCTAAATTTTCCAGATAACTAATAGGAAAATGATATATGATAGGATACAAAATTTCTCTGATTGTGGCTTGAGATTTCCCATCCATATAATACTTATTTTTATTTTAAATCAGGGGCCTCTAAACCATTAGTGTATTTGCAGACTGGCTGCTGTGGCTACATTCCTTGGTTTGTTGGGATTTCCAATAAGAATAGCATAGTTGGATCTAGTCAGCCATCAACTCCTTTCTTCACTCCTGCCTGATCCTCTCCCCCTCACCCAATCTTCATTGCAGTATGCTGAGAGAAATGAAAAGAAGATGCTGTTCACAAAAAAAGTTTGGGACTCTAGTTGTAAGGACTAGAAAGTTGTTTTCATGTGTGTATCACCTTGAGCTAATTCTGTAAGTATGGTTCACTTGATTAAACATGGCATTCATATTCAAATATGTGGGATGGGCTTCTAGTGGCAACTATTTGGAAGAAGGCAGACTGGCGGCACATTCCCTCTTTCCTCACTTACCTTACCCTAGCAGTCTCCACATTTTGAACAAAACAATGACCTATTTCTATCAATCACTGACAGTATGTGATTTTTCATTTCCCTTTTACCTTCCCCCTTCTTCAACTTGGTCTCATTTAGATCTTGTGTTTTTTTTTTTCAGCCGTGATGTGGACTCTCAATGTGGATTCTTTTTTTTTTTTTCTCTGTCATGACACTTGTAGACCTGCCATCATTCCTTAGACCTTCTGTCCACTGGTGGAGTCTTAATAATTTTGCACATTTTGTCCAATACATGACTTCAGTGCTGAGGGAAAGAGTCATAATGTGGCACTAATAAAATGACTTCAATAACATTACAAAATATGCTCTAATCATTTATTTACACAAATCGTTAGACTCAAAGTGCATTACAGAACAGACATTTTTGTAATTTGCCACTCTCATTTTATAGGTGAGGAAACCAAGGTTGAAAGACATTTACCCAATTGCCCAAGATTCTAAAATGACTTGTAATAAGAAGTCTGTTCCTGAGGCACAGTTTTGCTTTTTAATCAACCTCATTCTAAAACATGATTTATTCTTAATAAAATCATGCTGGTTAGTTCACTTCATGCCATTTATTTTTTAAAAATATCTAATACTTTAAAGTATTTTCAAGACTCATATAAACACCAATATTTGGCTTACTAAATGAATACTAAGCAGTGTTCTTCAGGGGCCTTTCATAGGCATTATTTTATTTAATATTTCTATGAATGAAAGAAAAAAATCCCACTTCACGGAAGACATTAAAATTGAGATTTAGTTTTTAAAAATACTTTATTTGAGTATGGTCTATTTGAAAGAGCATTGTGGTGAAAGTCAGGTAGACTGAACACTCAGCAGTTTTATCATAGACTTGCTATGTGTGACTTTACACAAGTCATAAGTTTTCTTTGTGCCTTGGTTTCCTCTTCCATTTCTGCATTATATACAGATGGTACAAGGAGAAAATGAGCTAACAGATGTGAAAAATGCATTTGGGGAAAAAGTGCCATGTAATATAATTATTTAGTATACATTAATAATGCTTGTTTATATCTACAAAATTATGATATATGAAGCATGTATGGTTTTTTTTTCAGTGTGGAGAACATCCAGTGTGGGAAATTCCTCCACAGACTGAAGATCAAATTTGTTTATGATTTAGTACTTAAGTCCTAGCATGTGCTTGAGACACACAAAGATTGGGGTTGATCAAACTTCTGCCAGAGGCAGGATATGAACACAGGTTTTGCTTCCTCTATGTCCAGCACTCTAATCACTATAACATGCTGCCTCATCTACACAATTAAAACATTAATTTAAAATTATTAAATTATGTTAAAAACATCAAATATTCATATAATCCATGTTGATGAGTGAGTAACTGAGCTAAAATATAGTTATCACAATGTACTGAAGATAAGTGGGCTCGGCTAGAGTGATGGAGTAAAGGATATCTAGAGATGGGAGGTTGTCATTAAAAATGCCTTGTTAAACTTGCTTTTTTTCATTTCTCTTACTAAGGCAGATTGAAAACATAATATCTTCAATATTTCTGTGCTGTCATTAATTGACTATTTCTAGCTTATTAATGAGTCCATCTACCCAGAACAGAAATAGGCTTGTTGCATTATTTCAGACAACAAAAAATCGGGGGGGGGGGAGAAGCACTTTAGACTAGAAATCTTTTCTCACACAAATACTCTTCGTGTGACTTACAATGTGCAAGCTTTCTTTGTGCTTCAGGCTTTTTAGCTTTATCATGGGGACACCTGGTTCAACTCTACCTGTAGTGATAGAACATTTGAAGCTTTTGAACCTGTTAGAAATTACAGGTGTTACTCTACAGTAATGAATAGAGAGAAATGTCACAATTTATAGAAAGAAAATCAATTTCTGCTGTTTGCTTCAAACAAGTCCTTGTCCTAGGAAGTCCATCAGTGATGGACCATCACCATCACTTTTTATTGCACATTCATAGCATATTTTACTTAACTCACCTAAGAAACTTAATCACTAAAGTAAATGAATTGGGGCCTTGTGTTCCTTCTTTAGGATACTGAAGCTTACTTAGCAAATTATTTCTTAATGTCACAGAGTTGTAGCTAGGAGTTTTAAAAGAGTTATTTCCTAAAAAGAGGCATTTATTTCCTTCTTATTGGCGGGCATTATTCCCAATGTCCTTTGCTTTTTTCCCTTTTGGTGCTTGAAATAATCACATAAAAAAAAGAGCCTAAAGGAAGCTATTGTAGGATAGCCAGCTTCCAATTATCCATGCTAATGAGAGGCAATAACTTGGAAGTTCAAATAATTCATTTTTCCTGGGTTAGTTTCTGAGGAGGGTGGTTTCTCTTCAAGGCAGATAATTTGCCTGAGAATAATCAGGAATTGACTGGTGATTATGTGTGTTCAAATAATAAAGAATGTTCTCTATCTAGATTAATGCTTCAGCGTGTTACCAAACTTCTGTTTTTTTTTTAAAGGAGAAAGCATCTTTCCAAATTAAGGACAAATGTGGAAAGAAGGGTGATAATTGCAAAAATGCAAACAAAATATATTAAAAACTATTATGGGATTAACAGTGCTGTGCTCTATACTGGATAGTCTTGATCTTGAGTTAAGTTCAACTAGCTTACTGTTGTCTACATGAGAAACATCACTAGGTAAGTTCATCAATCCCAGGCTTTGTACATACGAAATAATTCAATATACTGTAACATACAAAAACTTCAGAAAATTTTAAAAAGACTTATTTTCTTTAAGTCACTGCTATTTACATAATCAAGGCTTTATATAATTGTTCAACTTTATTAAGATGTGAAAATTCCTAAAACGGAAAGAAAAAATAGCAAAGAAAGCAGAAAACAATGAATCCAATAACCCAGTTTACTGAATAGATATAGATGATAACCATGTCCATGTCAAACCACCATGCACGGCTGTCATCCTCAAAGTGCATATAATCCATTCTATGAGCACCATGTGGAAACTGTCTCCTTGTAACTGGATCTGCACGTCTATGGAAACCTGAATAAAAAACATGAGCAGATTTTTTTAAAAAATTGTTTAAAGTAAATTAAGTACTCAAGAGTGAGGCTAGGTTATGAACATTAACAATTCTAACTTTTTGTGAAAAGAAAAATCTCAGAATCTGACACTGATTAGTATGATTTATATCTGATAGTATCTCAGTGAGAAGGCCTTTATGAGAGATGACTATTAAAGATAGATTGGTTTTCATAGCCATAAGATTATTAAAACTCTATTCAAACAAGTATCAGCATGTCAGTGACAAAAGGGTTATTTGTAATGTTAATTTTTATAGGGTAATAAAGAATATGGGTTTATAATCATATTGTATGAGCTGTTAATGTTGGGATAAAACTCTACCCAGAATTAATAAAAGAGCAAGAGACGGGGTGGAAACACTGGGGAAGGTCAGTTGGGACTTTATAGGGTAGGTGCTGACAGAATATACTTTGTGGGGAATATTTCTCCACAGAATATCTTGGTGCTAAGACTGACCTTTAATGCTGTTTTGTGCAGCGAGTTAACTTGTTTATGTGGACAAGAAACAAAGTGAAGAGGCTGCAATATACCAAAATTAAGAGTTAAGAGAAAGGTAAGGGGTCTTGTGATTGATGGACAAATATTTCCAAGGTCAGGGGATGGGCAGGAAAACAGAAGGAAGCAAAATATTATTTATCCACTTCTATGGAAAGGGCTTATCAATTTACGATGTGACATATACATATACTGAAGTATCAGTCACTCAAAACCTTTATTTTTGCTCCTATGTCATTTGTCTGCATGAATTAATGTGTAGGGAGCTACTATGAATGAGGACTGGTGCATGCTTTCTTAGGGGTCAAGTTTAGCACTACACCCACCTATATTTGAGGAAGTACCACATCAGTGGAGAGGAAGGTCATGTCAATATCCATTCAAGATGCCAAAACCTTGGGAGTTATGCTGATGACTTAAAAAAGGAGTAAAATGGAGGTGTTAAGGATGGAAAAGGATAGAATTCACATATGAACAAGGGAAAATAACCACTGGGACCAAGACTGAATCTTCCAAAAGGCCATTCCCTAAAAAGGATATCTATGGAATACCAGACTATGACTTACATTGCAAGTCATAAAATTGGATCAAATTGGATTAAATTTATTTTCTGGTCCTGTGGAAATTGTGGGACCACTACAGACATGACTCTTGGAGGTGGGGGGATAATAACTACTTTAGCCATACACATAAAATCAGCTTACAAGGTTCTACAGTTGCAAAAGTGTGTACGGCACCCTATCATGCAGCCATTCATCAATGCCCCACTAATGAAACAAGTTTCATTGCATCTTGTTTGACTTTTCTGAAATAGATGGAGGCCATTCAATTGAATACATATTAAGTGCCTGCCAGGTACAAAGCACTGGGCTAGAGGCCAAGAAGAAAAAGGTAAAAACAAAAACAAAACAAAACAAAAAACACAAAACACAAAAGTCTGTCCTCTCACAGCACTTTCATTATGCTAGTGGATAAAGCCAGGCATACTCAAAGTAATGCAAGGTAATTTGAAGAAACAGAGACCCCTCACAACTGAGTTGGGTCAGGGAAAGCTCCAAAGAGGCAGGAACCCCAAGCTGAGCCTTGGAAGAAGATCCCTCTGAGAGGCAGAATGGAGGAGGGTGGGCACTCCAGGCCCTGGGTACTTCTTAAGGGAGTGGAAAGAGTGGGAGAGGTAACACTCAATTTAGGGAGCAGCTAGTACTACGGCTGGGTTGGAACAAAGAGGAATACTGAAGAAGCTGGAAAGGTAGCTTTTTGTCAGACTGCAGAAAGAAGGTCTTACATGCTAAGCTATAGAATTATTTTCTCCTAGAAGCAATAGGGAGCCATGGATCACTTCAGAGATCTCTATCCCTATCATCACAATTAAAATTTTCCACTAAGTTCAAATAGTTTAGGGGAAAGATTATAAAAGCTGACTCATATTCTAGCACTGGTCAAACAGGTCAGACATACAGGTGCTCCTTGAGGAGTTTGTACTTTTATTGCCATGGATTTAAGTGTGATCTGAATGAAAGGCAGAGAGAACTTCTAAGGCAATAGGGCTATAAATCACATTATTGGGATGAACACTGGATTTTTAATAGAATGGAAACTTCGGAAAATAAAAATTGATTTGCCCCACATCCTAGACAAGTTTGATCTGATGATATAGTTTGACTAAGATTTTGAAAATAAAATACTAAAACAATTCACAATTACTGAGTTTTGGGGATATCTTAACTTTTGCTCTTCCTTACTCTTGCCTGTCTGCTTTAAACAGAAAGTCAGTGCTTATTAACACTCCTTAAATCACAAAACTGAAAAAAGAAATTTGTACTTCTAGTATATGCTAATGACACTGATAACATGATTTAGTAGGAAATGAGTTTGAAGTAAATCCAAATTGTAACACTTTCTAACTAAGGAAGGAGCAGCCCAGTAGATAAGGGAATGGGCCTTGATTTAGGCTTGAATTCAGATCTGGGCTCAGATACTTAATTAGTTGTACAACCCTGGGCAAGTCACTTAACTTGTTTACATTGGTTTCCTGAACTATAAAAAGGGGATAATAGTAGCACCTACCTCCCAAGGTTGCTATGAGGATCAAATGATACCATGTTTGCAAAAAGCTCTTAGCACAGTCTGGTACATAGTAGGTGCTATGTATTTATTTCTTTCCCTTCCTGTAAATCAATGCTAAGTAGCATACTCTGCATTCCCATTTGTTCTCAGGGGATTCAGGCTAAGCCAGTAAGGTGAGGTGAAGAAGGCTGTGGTGACAGAAAAAGCCTTATTCATCTTCCAGAGGAAGGAACTGGGTCAGGGTTAGAGTTAGAGGGTTAGGGTTAGGGTTAGTGGTCAAGGCAAAATTAGGGTTACAGTCTATCTTGAACCCTTTAGCTCAAATTCTCACATATGCTAGTTGAGCCCTGCCAGTTTATCTTGCTTTCATGTTGCCTCCCCTAGGTATCTGTGAGCTCTTTGAGGGCAGGGACTGTCTTTTGCCTTTCTTTGTATCCCTAGTGTTGAGCACAGAGCCTGACACTAAGCAGGGGTGTAAATAAGTGCTTAACGACTGACTGGTCCTCATCTCCACAAGTGCAATGTGCAAGTACAGCACAGGGCTTCCTCTCGTACTTCATTCTTGCAAGAGAGGGTAGTGAAGAGACAGTTCCTTCTTTTGACCTCTAAAAAAGCCCCCAAATTGAGGCATATAAGGATTCCCAAAGCAGCCTGTGTTTGTAGACAGAAAAAAACAGTAATATCGCTCTCTGATGCATGTAGCTTTGGGGGGCGGGGGATGAAGGACAGGGATGGTAGAGTAGGAGGAAGAACTACAGCCCAGCCCCATTCCACCCCTAGACTCCTCCACACAAACCTAGAAAACGTACCAGAATGAACGCTGATGGGGAAGTCCAAGAAAAAAGTCATTGTGAATCACTTTAACAGCCCAGATTAGCACAGGCAGCAGAGTTTTACAGACTTTGAGGATGGGGTCAGGCCTAAAGTGCACTAGGCAGAGCCCTCCAGCACAAGGACAGTTTGTGGACAGGGCAAAAGGAGGCCTGAGACTGAAGCTGAAGTCTTGTTAATACAAAATTCTTGGGTATGGTCATGCTTTTAAGTATATGTGCTTTTGTATTTATGTGTATTATATCCATATAATACACACACATTGTGTGTGTGTATATATATATATATATATATATATATATATATATATATACACACATATATATATACACACATATATATACACACACAATCACACACACACACACACACACACACACACACTCACTCTCTCTCTCTCTCTCTCTCTGTGTCTCTCAAGACATAACGCTACATACAGCAGGATCATTCTGAATTGCCATGTAGCAATGTGTGTATATACAAACACACATGACTAGAATGGGCTCTGCTATATTTTGTGACAAGTGTTTTGTTTTTTCAATGCCTCACAGACTGGGTTAAATTCATGGATTAGTTTAGACTACCTTTATAACTGTTCCTTTCCAAATGTCTGTTGTTTCCTAATTTGTGGAGTTGAGGGTAAGGTGGGAAAAATGGTGCTGGTCCTGGGACAGCTTCTCAGGGAGGAAACCCCTTTCACCAGTTCAGATAGCAACCTGCTTTTCAACTCATAGTCCTAAAGAGTTTCCTGGAGAATTGAGAGGATCAATAACTTTTTACAAGGTTGCACAGCTAGCTATACATGTGTCAGAGGCAGGACTTGAACCCAGGTCTTCTTGCCTTCAAGACTAGTTCTCTATCTGCTACTATCTCACATTCAATAAAGAGAGATATGATAATAAATTCACAATTTCATAAGAAAAGTTTATCTCATATATATTTATATATATGCATACACATATATACATCACACACATATGTATATATCAGACATTTGGAATAATGAAACGTAACATACTTTGTATTTCTTGAGCAAGAACAATTACCGAATAGAATTTGTGAAATAAAAATTCCTATTCTTAAATATCAAATGATTACATTATAAATTCTAATTCTGGATAAATTTAATACTGGTTTACTTAAAGTGAATCCTACATACAGACAAAAACCAGGGATTGTATTTATTTTTCTAAATCTCCTAGACTCCAGCAACTATCCAATCATAACTAATGTCACCAAATGTTTGCATAATTGTATGCTGATTACAAGATGATTTTAAGGTGTTGAGGCAAAAATAGCCTTCTCAGTTTTTTTTTTGGCCATGTATTTGCTATGAAAGTTAAATAAAAGTAAATCACGTATAGCAGGCTTGATTAGAGTCCTTTAGAGAAAGGATAATAGACACTCAAATTTATGGATGGAAAGTGAATAAAAATACTGCTGATGCCAGAACTTATATTATCATCCAAGAGCAGAAAAATCCATCTTTACTTTTGGCACTTAAGATTAACAGATATTTATAAAAGTTTGGACACCTAGATGGCACAGTGGATAGAGTGCCAGGC